AGGCTTCCTCCGTTTGTGTAGAGTTCACTTTTTGAGTAAAGTAAGAATTATATGTCATGGGGGGGGAATCAGGTGGGGCATGGCCAAAAAAAAAAAGGTTGGGAACCACTTTAGGGTCTTTGGTGCTCTCTGAGCTTGGTTGTTTACTTGCAGATGTCTCATTAGCCAAACTTGGTAAGATCATCAGTATCTATGTCTACAATCAATGTCTGGTCTACGGCAGTAGCACTGATGCTGTTAACTAGTTGGGTAATGAAACGTCTGCAAGAAAGCAGCCAAGCTCCGGGAGCGCCAAGGACCTCCATTTCAACCCTGAACTACAAATATTTTCCTTTATTGGTGTCTAGGGTTTGCATGTCCCCATGTATTTATTTATTGGTATGTTTGTATATAGTATTTTCTTCTGCTTCTGCCATTAAAAAAAGTTCTCTATAGCTTCTGCTTGTAAATTAGATTATTTTGTCCTGGGGTGTGCAAATCGACTTTCTCTGTAAGGCAGTGCTTTGATCAAGGAGCTGAATAGAGCCAGCTTGTGTAAGAGTGACAATTTCCTGCAGAGTCGCCTTTTTCTCCCCTCACATCATTTCTGAAGCTAAGTGGTTACCAGAGAGAGAGAGAGGCCCAACCTCACCTCATGGGCAGCCTGTGAAAGCCTTGGCAGTTCAGCTTCCCCCCCCCTTTAAAAAAAACCCCTCTAAAAAACGCCCCGAACAAAAAAAAGTATTGTGTGTATGTTTGTGTATCCAGAACTGGAGGGCGAAGAAGGCAAGAAACGGGAGTGCTTGTGGGGGAGATGAGAGGAGAATAGAGATGGGGCGGGAGGGGGCCTTTCCTCCCCCCCCCTTTCCTGGCTTCTTTCTCGGCAGAGATTTCTGCTTGCCTTTTCATATTCCAGCCTTGATTTGGAGGTGCTGCGTTTTCCCTTGATAGATCTGCTGGAGGCAGCCGGGCTCAGCAGTGTAGCGCCGTTTGCCCGTAGCAGCTTCCTTCATTTTCTGTACAAAGAGATGGAGGGCAGGGAGGGGGGGAGAAGAACAGAGGGAGAGAGAGGGAGAAAGATCCAGGACACTGTTGAGACAACACTACCTCAAAGGTGCCCAGTGTGTAGCCAGGAAATAAATTACCAGCCCTTCTCTGATCTGCCACCATTTGACTCCTTTTCTTTCCCTCCCTCCCTCCCTCCCCCGCTCCCTTCCCTTTTTCTCCCCCGTCTTATTTTTATTTTAATTTCCAACTCCTTTCTGTTTATACTCCACTTTTATTCCTTGACTTAAAGTCTCTCTCTCTCCCCCCCTCCCGCCTCTGAGTTTTCCATTTGATGTTTGACAACAGTCTTTGAAGATTTTCTACTTCAGAGTAGCTACTGATGGGCTGGTTGTACTACAGAGAGAACAAGCAGGGTTCCTCGGTGTGCGACCAACTGCTCCTGCCGAAGGCAAACGCTATTGGGGAAGATGTCACTCCATGAGGCCACAGCACTTGCTCATAAAAATCCAAAGCAGACCATGCCTAGTTGCGGTCGTCTTTTCATCCAAACATGGAGACACAACAAGCTGAACGGAGCCAGCCAGCCTGCTCCCCGAACTGAGCTGCTTTCGCCCGCGCTGCCTGTTAAACTTAGCTTATTGTCTCTGTCCCCGCTCTGTGTAGAGAACCCACCGGCTCCCCAAGGAAATGACCCCCGTGGAACCCGCCACCTTCGCGGCCGAGCTCATCTCTCGGTTGGAAAAGCTCAAGCGAGAACAAGAGACCATGGATTGCTTGGAAGAGAGGCTGCAGCAAATCACAGAGGTAGGGACCTGACAACCCCCCCTCTTGCTCCTTTTGCATGGGTTCCTGCTTGGTGGCTCCCCCCTTTGCTGAAGGGGAGGGTGGGCGAGAGGATGGGCAGGAAGAAAGAGGCATGAGAGAGAGAGGGAGAGAGGGATTGAGAGAGTGAATGAATGAATGAATGAACGAACGAACGAACGAACGAACAAACGAACGAATGAATGAATGAATCTTAGCTCAGGTCATCCTTCTGTGAAGAAGGAGGGCCAGGTGTGGAGAGGCACTGCAGTCACACAAGCTAATGAAACCAGAGCAATACCGCTGTGCCTGTTTTCTGCCAGCTGAGGTCTCTTGGGGCTATGTGCGCGGATGCCTCAAATTCTGTCAGCATCTATGTAACTAGGCACTGGCCCCAGATTTCTGTCAAGGGGCAGGGAGGCATAATGTCTGAAGAGCTTTACTAGGACTCCTCATTGAGCTCTGCTGATTGAGTCATTGTCCTTCACGTTTTGTCCTGAAGGATGACGAAAAGGAGATCTCTGACACGCCTGTCGCTGCCCAGGGCAACCGAGAGCTTGTAGCCGTGCAACATCAGCAGCACCCACTCACGCTCCTTCCCACCGGCAGCTATGAAGATGATCCTCAGGCCATTCTGGACGACCACCTGTCCCGTGTGCTTAAGACCCCCGGGTGTCAGTCTCCTGGCATGGGGAGGCATAGCCCTCGTGCTCGTTCCCCCGACCGACTCCCGGGGGGCAAGTTCCTGATAGCCACTCCAGGCAAGAATGCCGTGCCCGCGGCTTGTGCTCTTCTCAGCAAAGGATTTGTCACCAAGCAGACCACCAAGCATGTTCACCATCACTACATCCACCACCACACCATTCCCAAAACAAAAGAGCAGATAGAAGCTGAGGCAGCCCAGCGGGTCCAATGCTTGTGTGCTGGGGGCACTGATTATTATTGCTATCCAAAATGTAGAGGACACGCGAAAGGGGCGGACCTTCCTGTCGCTCAGCTGGAGCCATTTAGGTGAGTTTCCTCTTGGGAAAGAGTTCTAATGGCTTGGGGGTGGCTGGGATAGGTCCACACTTCTGGAATTGCGCCTGTTTGTCTAAAAGCTAAAGGGACGGCTGGGAGTTGGTGCGACGAGGGGAGAGTGGAGATGGGACCAGGGAGGAGAATCCCCTCCAACTGGGGCCTGAGGTTTTAGCAGAACTCTTGCTGTGTAATGACTAGGCACCAGAGACTAAGTGTTGTTGTTCTCTCTCTGATGGAAACCTCAGCAGAACTGGGACCCTTCCCAAAAGGAACTGTAAGCTCCAGGATGGCCTCGTCCTGCCAGGTGGAGAAGGAGGTGGCCCCCCTGCCCCACCAGGCATACCGCTACCCAGTGGGGAAGCCGATCGCTCCCAGAACGTCTGGCAGTGGATGTTGGAGAGTGAAAGACAATCTAAGCACAAGCCCCATAGGTAAATATCAGCTGTCTGCAACACTCTTGCTCCTGGTAAATATTTATCTATTACACAGCTGTCTATTTTTACAATCACTAAAAACAAATGAAGCTCTTTTGCTCCTCTGGTTTAATATGAAAGCTGTTCCACGGAACCAGAAAAACCACAAAAATGTCATGTTTTTGGCAAAAAAAATCCCTTTTCATGTTATGACAGACTTTTCTCTCTCTCTTTTTTTTCCCTTTCTTCTCATTGAGCATACACAGAACAGAAGCTGCTCTGAAAGGCCCGTATTTCAGCTTTTATAACCTTGCCCCTTTGGTCCCTTGTCTTTTTCCAGCACGCAAAGCACGAAGAAGGCCTACAATGCTGACTCCACCAGAGGTGCATCTGGGGAGCGTCCGGCCCGTCACCACCAGTGGGGCAACAGCAGCCACCCACGGGCTGTGCAACCTGCCCACCCCTTTGTCCAGGATCCCGCCATGCCTCCACTGACTCCACCCAACACATTGTCCCAGCTGGAGGAAGCTTGCCGCAGGCTAGCCGAGGTGTCCAAGCCACAGAAACAACGGTAACTTTCCACAGATTGGGGTGTCAAAGCAAAAGCTGCCCCCCCCTCCCTGCTGGGCTGCTGGGTTGATGCCTGCTAAGAGCAATCCAGTCCCTGTTGAAGACAGGCTAGGCAGAATATTTTGAAATAGGCCTGTAAAAACCATAGATTGCCTAACAAAAGCATCTGCAAGCAGAATCTTTTTCAAATTCCTTATTGTGTTGCAAAACGTAGAGTCAAATTAAAGGTGTGATCAGCTAGAACAATGGCAAATAGGAGGTCAGATTCATAAAGCCCCTTTGTCCTCAGGAGAGATTTAAATTTGTTTATGGTTGTTTGTGTATTGGTTGCTGGGTTTTTTAGCCATTCCTGTCAGACTGACTCTGAGTAACATACAATTCCCCAAATCTGTAACTTGGTTAAAATAGAGAGGGAGGCTAATAAAACTTGGATTGAAAGATAAGGATCCATATTTGGCCCTACCAACCTAAAGCTTTTTCACTTTTACTTTTGAGATATTTTTGAAAGGTGAAAAAAAAGAACTGAAACTGGCTTCATTTTATGAGTTAGTTTTTGGCTTGCTCAAGCTATTGCGTGGGCTTATTTATTTATGAAATTGAATTTTTCACCCATCTCACTATCAAGGGATTCTTAGGTTTTGGAACAGGCTGCGTCTCAGTCTTATCATTCAGCATGCACCTTACAAATTGTAATCTCTCTAGCCAAAGCAATATGAACCTTCCAATTTAACCTGGTTTGTTCGATTTCCTTAATGAACACTTGTGAAACAGAAACCAGTTAAGTGGTGGGATTCAAGCTTTCGCCTGTCTTTGGACGATGCTGAGATACTTTTGGCTCTAGCATGTGTAATATTTCCTTGCTCGTTTTTAGCACTTTGGTCTTGAGTGCACAAATGGGATTTGGAGAAGGTATTAATGGTTTTCCTGTATCTCTTTCCCCTTCCTCTCCCATTTCCCAATCCTTCAGATGTTCAACTTCAAATCAGCTTAGAGATCGAAACCACTTGGCTTCAGTACCGGGAGGGAATGGCCCTTTCAACACGACAAACACGACATCAGAAGAGTGAGTGCAATATAAACAGTAAAGAGCTGCTGGTTCCTTTCCCCCCCCCCCCCCCCAACCACGGTCTCCCGTCTATCTGCTGGATTCCTCTGCGGCACAGTGTGAGGTGTAAAGCAGTGCAGGTTTTCCTCCCCCCCCCCCCCCCCAAACCCATTTTTATTGCTTTGGAAGTGGAGCATTTACAAGGGAGTTTGGATTTTTCTTTTTTAAAGGCCTGTAGTGAACACCAAACATTTTCAAATCTTGGCTCTCTAATTCTCCCCTTCTTTTTGTTTGCATTCCAGTTAAATGGACAAAGATTGGTGGATTAGTCTAATTACAGGATAGTTCTTCTTTGACAAGGAATCTGCTAGAGTCTAAATAATTAAAGTTTTCTTTCTTAGATGCGGCATCTTAAGCAATGAGTAATGTTTGAAGTCCAAGCTTAGCCACATGACTATCCCTTTTCATTTTTAATTGGCTGACCTTAAGCCAGCTGTCTGTGTGCTAGTGCTTTTTTTTTCTTTGCTTCCTGAAACCACTCTACAAAGACTTGGAACAAATTAGGAAGAGAAAATTATGGCAGAGTAGCCTTTGGTGACCTTTAGACGTGCCAAGTCTGGCTCGTCTCAGAGATGGCCTTGTCTTCATGCCACTGAAGACTCTTATTTTTGCAACAGGTTCTGTCTTCTTGAGGTTCCCAAAGTGGAACCAGAACTTGGCTTTCTCTTCCTTTTGACAGTGGTGTCAAAGTATCAAAACAGATGTGGTGCATCTCTGTTCCCCCCCCCATACAAAAACAGTGGCAGCTTTTGATGTGCTGTTCTACACAAGTCAGGGCTTTCTAAATTTACTTCACTGTAAAAGAATGCATATATAGAATATACGATATATGCCCATTCCTTGGCATTGTAGGTGAATTGGAAGATCTGAAAGGCCTGGTTAGGAATGGAATGTTATGGAGAGAATCTATCT